AATTATTAAATTTTCCCTCTGTAAAAGCTAAGTGAAACTTCCCTCTGTCCTTTTTCTGCTGAAAAATACTACTGAGAATACTGTTTTTTAATAAAGTAGCCCCAAGAATGATGGGAGTCTCAAAAATCCTACTATCACTGCTGAGGTCTCAGACTATCAAGAAAAAAAAATGTTAATGATTTGTATATCCTAGGGGCATATTAGAACTAAGCTTCCTGCAGGGTTGGCATTGGTCTATGTGTTAGCTCTCAACATATAACTGTTCTAGTAATAAAATGATTTGTATTGCTATGAATGATATTTTGTTTGTTGGAAAGATGTTTTTAAATATTCTTTTTTAATGTTAACTGCTAGATCAAGCTTAAATTAGGATTGTAAGCAATTAATTTTATATCCTGTTTACACTTGAAAAATGGAAGTACCCCAAGACATTTCCTAGAAGATGAACACATAGTTTAATTAGATGCTCTTCATTTTATTGTATTAAAAACACAAACACACAAAACAACCAACCCCTCCTCATACTGGTGATTCTAGAAATGAGAAAGACCCGATTCAGGATTTGTATTATAAAGCAATTACAGTGAATTGTACATTTAAAAAGCTCAGTCCAAAGTGACGGCAATTCAACCCAAAGGTAGCAGCATCTCAAAAGCTTTGAATTTCCTAGTAACACAAAGGAGTACAATTATTATATATAGGATAGATTGGATTCTGGGGGTATGTTAAGTATATTAAGTATCTTAGTAATATATAATATTGTTGGCTGTTACTCTCGGCCACTTGTTGGCTATTACTCTCGGCCACTTAGAGGTATATTTTTGATTTTACCATCATGCATTTAGTACTCTTTCTGCACTTGGTCTTTATCACTGCTCAGTAACTAACCTCTACCTGGGTGATATGAGTCATATATTCAGCTTTGCCGCTTGTTTTATTCTGGTGTACTTGAAATATGTTTAATTCACTTTGATCTTCTTGCTGTATTCATGTATGCAAATCCAAACACTGACAGGGTATCTTTTTTTGATATTCCAGCAGAATCTATACTTAGTATTTTCAAAATTGAACTCAGTCTCTGTCCTTCAAATTTATTTGTCCTCCTGTATTTCCTACTTTTGTGAATGATATGATCGACTACCAGGCATTTAAACTGGAAGGAATCCATAGTTCTACCACCCAGGTAAAATCAAAAGAAAAATATTTATTTCCTTCTAGATTTTCCTTAAGCATCACATTTGTTTTCAATAGTTGTACCATTTTTAATAAAGTTAAAAATTGCTTTTCATTTAATATTAAATTACAGAACTTTTCTCAGTTTTTATGCATTATAATAGTACTAACTAAATTTCTTTAAAGAACATTACCATTTGTTTCTTTCTCTGTCACTATTGGTAATGTATACTTTTATTAAAATTGTCCATTTCATCTAAGCTTTAAATATGCCATACAGTTGTTTAAAAGAATCTCTTAATATTTGAAAAAAATTCTATCTTTATTTTTACTCATAGATATACACATGTATATAGTAGGAATAAAATATATATGTATATACATATATACTTTCAGTATGGAGACTTTGTTCAGGATGCAGGCTTTTTAAATTAGCTTTTGGTGTTAGTTATATTTTCTGCCTTCTATTTCATTAAATTCTAATGTAATCTAATTTTTCCCTCTTTGTACATTTTTTGTGTTTACTGTGTTCTTTTTTAACTGCTTAGTTTTGATGCCCTGTTCAATATTTTTACTTATTTAAATATTATGATATATGATACAGTTTTAAATGCATATATTAGCCACATTCAGAAGATTTCATAAGTAATATTTTCATTGTTTAGTTTGAAATATTGTACAATTTGCTTTGTAGTTTCATAGTTAATTTATGAATTATTTAGAATCATAATTTTTAGTTTCCAAGTATATGAAATTTTTTTATCCTTTGCTGTTATTTTCTAATTTTATTGTCCATGGTCTGAATACTGGTTCTTTATAATACTGATTCCTTGGAATTTGTTGAAATTATCTTTTTGGCCTATGCATTTGATAAAGTCATGCTAGTCTTAACAATCTCAGAGACTTAAAGAAATAAAAGTTTAATTTTTGCTCACATGAAATCCGGAATAGGTGCTTCAGATTTACATCGACATCCCACCATTGGACAGGGGAAAAGGAGGCTAGAGGATTTTGCCTTAAATTTTTATAGGCTAGGCTGGAAACAGCCACATCACTTCCACTCACATTTCATTGGCCAGAATTCAGTTACATAGCCACACTTACTGCAAGGGAGACTGAGAAATGTTGTCTAGCCACGTGTCCGAGAGAAAAGGGAATTGAGTTAGGAGAAAGGCTAGTCAGTGTCTGCCAAGCCAAACGCTATGTCAATTTTTATAAATGCTCCATTTGTACTAGAAAGAAGAAAAGTTTACTTCTTATTAGTTGGGTATAAGGTGCATTGCATCCTGTAGTTTAAGATTATTCATTGTGTTCTACCAATCTGTAGCCTTATTAACATTTTTTTTTTTACTTTAGGTTTATCGGATTCTAAGAGTGGTGTGTTAAACTTTCCCACGGTGATGGTGGAAATTGTGTCAATTCTTTGTCCTTTATTTTAAGGTTATATTGTTAGGCACATACAATTCCATTGTTACACATTCTCCTGTAATTACTGCTTTTATCCTTATATATTATTCTTCCTTATTCCTGTAAATGCGTTTTGGCTTAAATTATTTTATAGCTGGTGGTAATAATGTGATTCCTGCTTTCTTATGGGTAGATATTACTTTATATTCAGTGCTTTTATTTTCATATTTAGCTTGCCATGTTGATTTAGGTTTGACTCTTATAAACAGCTCATGACTTGATTTTAAAATATCCATGCTAATAGCCAATCTTCTGATTATTACTTTTATTACACTTACAGTTATTTTTATTATTGCATTTTCTCTTTGTCATGTACTTCACTTTGCTACTTCGTTTCCTTCTTTCCAGCTTCTCTTGGTTCAAAAGAATTTTATACCCTTTTTTCTCTCTCTGCAAAAGTGAATGTTGTGTAACTATTTCCTTTCTTTAAGAGTCACACTCAAATATTTACTAATAACAGATAGTTATATGTGTGTGTGTACATGTGTGCACGTGTGTGCCATCAAGTTGTTTCTGAGTCATGCGACCCTGTACAACAGAGCAGAACTGCCTCGTAGGGTTTCCAAGGCTGTAATCTTTATGGAAGCAGATTGCCACATCCTTCTTCCCTGGAGCACCTTGTGGGTTCGTACTGCCGACCTTTCAGTTAGCAGCCAAGCACTTAACCATTGCACCACCAGGGCTCATATGTGTGTGTATGTTTGTGTATATGTGTATGTACACACACACAGACATATAAACACATGATAAAAATTTTAATAAATAATACTTTTATCTAAATCTCCTTATCATCCTGTTACTCATTTTGTGTTCTCTCTTTTTTTAACACAGCCATTTAGTTCCCCTTTATTTTTAAACATAACAGTTGTTTTATTTATTTTCTATCAATAGTTATATTTATGACTATATGTTTATAAATTTCTTTCCTTAACTTTGCTTCTTACATGCTTTTCCTGTCTCTGTTACGTGAACTTTATGCTACAATGAAATATGATGAGATAATTACAGAACTGAGCACTTTCAAGGGTTTTTTTTTTTCCCAAGGGTTTTTTTTGTTTGTTTGTTTTGTTTTATTTTTTCTTGGGTATTTCTTCCATTTTTTCCAAAGTATTTTGGTTTTTGTTTCCTGGACAGTCTTTTTTATTTTTTGGAACCAAGAGGAGCAATAAACCATAGTACTGATGAAGATCCGTCTAATTTACTTTGGTATGCTATAGTCAATTCAAGAAGGGACTTGAGATTTGACCTTTTCAAGGCAGAGGTATTATCTAAAAGCTCTTTAACAAGTCAGAGTTCTCCAGAGGACTAAATTTTTTCACTCCAAATAAGCAACCACAATGGATGTTCAAATACAGTTTCAGGATTTTATGAAATAATTCCATATAATAATTTACAGTTTAAGAGGCCCAATGTGTTAACTCTTCCTGATATTGCTGTTTAAAGACTTTAGTTATGCAATGATTGTATTCTCAATCCTAGTAAAAAGAATGACTATCTTGATTATTATTCAGCACTGTCTCAAAACTTACTAGGATAAGAAAGCAAAATAATTGGTATAAGTGGTAGAAAATAACACATTCTTTTGGATGGTGGTATGGCTGAATACCGAGAAAACACAAGAAACTCTAGTTTAAAAAATATAGTTAAGAAACAGTTTGTTAAGTGGATAGATATAAGATGAATATACAAAAATAATGGACCTAGAAGTGAAAATAGGTAGGTAGGTGGATAGCTAAAACAACATCTTTAAATATTCAATAGACAAATAATATATTTGGAAAAATGACCCTAAAATATCTACAAGGGAGATAATAGAATTAATGTCTGTGTTATGGAAGTACCTCTTCATAACTGAAAATAAAAAGACAACTCAAATAAGAATCAGCATAATATATGAATATACAACTCAATTTAGAGTCAATTCAAATGGCACAGAATCATGGGAAAAGATAGTCTTACAGATATATTATTGTATTTATCAGACTGGCAAAACTTAAAAGATCTGTACAACTTATTGCTCTTGGGAATGTGGCAAATATGGACTATTGGTTATTACTTGTATATAAACAAATTTTTATAATCATTGTCACATTTATTACATTTCAAACTACATATAACTTTCATGTCAGATATCCCAGTTCTGTAACAATATCTCTTATATATAAAAGTATCAGTAAGTAGGGATATACTCTCTCATTGCTTCCACTGCCTCATATATGAATGAGGATCTTCACTAAGATAAACTTTATGTTCTATCCCAGTTCTAAAATACTATGGACTTATGGCCACAAAATGGTTTGAGTCCCAGTTTTCTTCTGTGAGAAAACACTTAAGAGATTCATGAAAGACCTCCTATCTGTGTTTATGTGTTTATTTTCTGGTTCCAAAATCTTTCCCTTTCTTCTCTTCTGCCATCCCCATTAATTCTTCAAGTTTCTTCTCCAAATATTTCTTTAGTGATCTTCGTATTGCCTTCATCTTCCTCCGATGAGACACACAAATATGGAATCTAGAGTAGAGAAAGAAGATAATTCCAACTTCAAGATCAATATTCCAACTCTTTAAAGCAATTATACAGTTGTTTTCTCCTTCAGTTTTGGATACTTCTCCTAGAAGTTTGCCTCATGTTTCATCATTCCTCCTCTTTATGTCCCAACTGTTATCCCATCAAACTTCTATCCATTTCATTCTTGTCTGTATCATAAGCAGATTTTGCATGGACTCCTTTACCCTTATTTCCATTGAGGGGGGATATCGGGCAGTCTTTTTGCCAAAGGTATGCTTGACTCAGTGTTTGTGTGGAAGGCAGAGAACTCACAGTAACAAAGTGCTTCCCAATACTACAGCTTCTGTCAGCAATATCAGAAATAGCACAATCTCTCGACTCTCAGCCTCCCTTGAATCATCTTTTGGAAAGAGAAAGGAGAAAAAAGAGTTTTAGAGAAGAGAAATAATAACTTGGGATTTCTACCCAGAATAGAGGACTCTTTTAACCTCAAACAGTTTGCCCAATTTACCACTTTCAATAGTCTTCCCTGGTTATTTTGTCCTGTATTATTCTAAGAACCTCAGGCTCTAGGAAAATTTTGCCCTTGCTACCTCTAGCCTAATTTCTCCACTGCTGCTCCAGCCTCTAACCTTCTCATGTCTCAGCTCTTCAAAACTGGCCTAGTGCCAAGTTATTCATACTGGTACAAATTTCGCCTAGTATTTTAGCTTTTTAAAACAAAACAAAATAACATTAGAGTGACCTGCAATTACTGGCACATAGAAGGTACTCAAATATTTGTTGAGTAAATCAACGAACAACCCAATTCCTTGATCCCTGGACCTTCAAACTGTCATACCACAATCTTTATTACCTCCACAATACTCCCCTCGGAAGCAATGGGTGGTGATACGAAGACAGGTCCAACAATCAAGAACGGGACCTTCAGTCACAACTGAGAAAGAGGGAAAGATAGTCAGAAGGGGGCCATGCCATTAAGGCTCCTTAGCTCAGACATCAAGTATAGATTAGATCTCAGGCATTCCCAGGACTCATAAGGTCACATTGCTGTTAATTTCTCCTTCCCCTAGTAATCAATATCCGTGATAAGTCAAAACCTTCTGTAATTCAAGTCAGATCTCTGGGGGAAGATGTGGAAAATATGATGACTTAGGTTTTATTGGGATAATAGGTTGTAAATTATATATTAAGAGGCTACCGAACACCTGCAAAATCTCGGGGGTATCCAAGACTTCATAAGCTGGATTTAATTGTCAGTTATTGGCAGTTCCCCTAATAACCATAACCCTAGGAATTGGGTTCTCAGCATGACAGGTAGGAGAGATAGGGTCATATAGAGCAAAGGAGATGGGAAAATATGGGCTGAAACCTCAAGGCGTCAAATGTACTGTACTCACTGCAATCTTCAGAACAAGCTAGAAGAGAATCAGAAAATTCTAATGAGCTCCCATCAACTTACATATTACCATATTTACACCAAAATAGCCCTTATTTAGTTACCAACTAAGTTCCAGCAACCCCTTCACCCATTCTTAATCGCCCTAATGTGATACTACATTCCTCCTCTCACCCCAAATTTCCTATCCCTTCCAGTGTTGCTAGATAGGCATCTTTCATTACCAACTTCAGAGAAGGTCTTTAATGTTTCTTTCAATTTGGATTCCAGGTTTTGCCGGATTTCGAGAAGCTTGCCTTGAAGGATAAAGGCACCTAAGATGGGGTGGAAGGAACAACATCAGAAAGCAGGAGTGGCCCTTCCTTTCAGAATTTAATCCTAGTTGCTTTGCCTTGCCTTCCGCAATCAACTTTCCTTATACTTGGGCAATACAAATTTTTTAACATTGAAAGAGTACTTCACCTTTCCATGTTCCCTTGCCCAGTTTCTCAAATTGCTGCTTCAGCCATGATCTCAGGTTGACAACATTTTGGACATCTAGAGAGGAAGGGGAAAGGTACATGTGAGAGAATAATTACATCTGTGGAGGAAATTTTGTGGACCAGGTGTTCTCTTCCCTGCCTCCCTTCTCCCTTTAACCCACAAAACTCTCAGGGGCTCAAGTGTCCCTCACCCAACACCCGAAGCATCTTGTCCCTGTGGGATAACTTGGAGCTTATATGGGTCATCTCCTTAATCTGCCGTTCAAGCAGATAATCTCGGCCAGGGACTTCTGAGGGTACTATATTTTCTATAAAGGTCCTAACATCCTCTATGAATTTGGGGTCACATTCCAGACAGCCTTTGACCTCATGGAAGGCTACTAGGGATAGGGGCAGGAGAAAGAGTAACCACAGGTCACCCATCTCCTTGCCCCAAACCCCACTCCCCACTAGCAGGTTGTCTTGGCAACTGGTTCACTTAGTTCCTTTTCCTTGAAAAATCCAGGAATGAGAGGCTTCTACTAGATAGTCTGACTCCAACTTTCCCTCTGTTTCCATCCCACTTTTAAGCAATCTCATTTCCCTATGATTCTTAAGCTGTTTTCTGACTTTTATCCTTCATTCCAGAGAGAGGGAACTGCCAGCTGGGGAGCAGATACCTGAGTTCTGAGTGTAGAACACAACGAAGGAGAGAAGTCTTGAGCTCACAAAAGCAGAGTTCTCTGTAAGAAGATGTCTCAGAAAAAGTGTTTCTTTAGTGCTTCCTTTCTTGTATCCTTAAGTAGATTCTTACACCCCTCTTGACCACTGGAGTGGTATTTACTCATCTTTCCTGAAAGTTCCAAAGCCTTCCCAGCCTCCAGTAGCATCCATAACCCATCTTCTCAACGGAATGCCCTCAGAAGCTTTAATTTCTTGGCGATAGAAAGAGCAGAAGGACTAAGCCTTTGGTTTCCCCTTCCCCACATCTGAATGTAAGAACAGGAAGTGCTTGGATTCTTACTGATCTGGATATTATTGTGAAGTAAAAACAGATTGAAGAGAGAACACCATATAACCAAGTATCATGGAAGAGCACAAGGTGAAGTATAACAGATACATGATGAAAGAGATAGTGTAGTATATTAGAGATGGTTTAACCCATACTTTACTTTTACAGAGAAGGTAAAAAAGACCCAGGGTGTCTTGGGGTCCCAGTCCCTATTGGTAGCAAAACTGTTGAGAACTAAGGAATGAGTGTCTACATATAATTTATATAATATAAACTGATATATAATAATTGATAATTTTAACTTTTTTCCCAGAAATTTAGGCTACCTTTGTAGGATGATTTCTCCAGCCTTGCTATTGGACCATTTTCTATCTTTCTTATTATAAAGAGACTGGAGGCAGGAGACTAGAAACAATAATTTAGGAATATATGGTGATGAGTGAGAACCTTTAGAGGGTGCATTTAGAAAATAATAATGATAGAGTATTTAATATATAAGAAAATAACCACAATTATGAAAGGCTGTCCTCTCAGGCCATCTACTTGGAAGTTGGGCAAAGAAACATGCTACCTTCAGTTTAAGGCTCTTTGAATAAGAATATTCTTTGTTATTCTGAGGAAATTATGGCTACTTTGCAGACTTTTCAGAGCATGGGTTACCTATTTTCTAATATAGTGTATGACTATGACCTTCTGGAAGCCAAGAAAGTCTGGATACCTAAAGGGATAGTGGTACAATTTAGACCTCAGGTGTGGGATAGTCATAGTGTGGGAGATTGTGAGGGACGTTAAGAGAATTACCATTAATTATATGCTTGCTATGTGACAAATAAGGAGCCTTGGTAGTGCAGTGGTTAAAGCAGTTGACTGCTAACCAAAAGGTTGGCAGATTGAAACCACCAGAGGGTCCCAGGAGAAAATGTGGCAGTCTACTTCCGTAGAGATTTACAGCCTCGGAAACCCTATAGGGTTGCTATGAGTAGGAATCGACTCAATGGCAGTGGGTTTGGTGGGTTTAGTATAGGACAAATGGAGCCTGGTGACACAGTGATTAAGAGCTCAAGCTGCTAACCAAAAGGTCTGCAGTTCAAATCCACCAGCAGCTCCTTGGAAACTCTGTGGGGCAGTTCTACTTTGTCCTGTAGGGTCGCTATGAGTCGGAATCGACCCGATGGCCGAGGGTTTGATGGGTTTAGTATGTGACAAATGGAACCCTGGTGGCAGTGATTAAGAGCTCAGGCTTCTAATCTAAAGGTCTGCAGTTCGAATCC